AACCGTGGGGTGACATTTCCTGGTGAAAGTGGTGACGTGTTGTGTCCGGTGGGATATTGTTCTGTGGACGTCTCGCTGCGTGGCAAGGTGTTTTGCACAGAGTTTGCCATTATTCCGCGGTCTACACATGATGTTATCTTGGGTATTGACTTCTTGTGTGAGTGTGGGGCAACTGTAGACTGCAGAAGTGGGCATCTTTCTATACACGGTACTTTCCCAATGGCGCTCTTAGAAAATTCCTGTTCGGAGGAATGCATCTTTTTCGTCTCTGTGGACACAGTCTTTCCTACATTTTCTGCCATGTGTGTTCCCATGACATGTTCCAGCAACAACTGTGGCACGTTTGACGCCACGCTCGAACCGATTACCTTGGCATGCCCGAAAAAGAACATTCTCATTTCCATTGTATAGTGTCAGTCGTTGATGGACGGGCAGGTGTGTGGGCAATAAACAGTTCCATGGAGCCTGCAATTCTGCCAGGTGGCATGAAACTTGCAGTATTTAGACCCGAATCATGTACGATGCTGGTTGCGCTTGTTGATGCTACAAGCCAAAATGAACATCTAGGCTTAGAAGGTTCAGAAGATGCCCAATTGCTACAAATGGTCAGCAAGTCACTTGACCAAAGCGAACGTCATACTCTGCTCGACGTTCTATCTAAGCACTCGAAAGTGTTCGATTTTTCTAAACATAGCCAAAGGCTCTTAATCCCAGCGTCCCGGATACGTCATTAGATCCACACCGAGTTGGTGCATCCCATTAGGCACAAACCTTACCGAGTGGCACCATCAGAGCGCAAGATCATCAACGAGCAAGTCCAAGAAATGCTGGAAAAAGGAATAATACAGGAATCGGCAAGTCCGTGGGCTGCTCCTGTCATTCTAGTGAGGAAGAAGGATGGTACATGGACATTTTGCGTTGACTACGGCCGACTGACTTCTGTTACCAAGAAAGACGTCTATCCACTGCCGCACATCGATGACGCTCTAGACTGCCTGCATTCCGCGTCCTACTTTTCATCTGTCGACCTGAGATCAGGTTACTGGCAAATTCCGATGCACGCAGCTGACAAAGAAAATACGGTATTTGTTACGACCGACAGACTTTACAAGTTCAACGTTATGCCATTCGGATTATGTAATGCTCCTGTGACATTCGAAAGATTTATGGACTCTATATTGCGTAGTTTAAAATGGCATATATGCATGGGTTACCTTGATGATGTCGTAATTTTTGGACGTACGTTTGAGGAGCACAACACTCGCCTAGACCTCATGCTCAGCTGCATTGAAAAAGCTGGCCTTGTATTGAATTCAAAAAAGTGCCACTTTGGCGAGCGACAGACATTGGTGTTAGGACATCTCGTCGACAAAGATGGCATTAGACCTGACCCACAAAATACAGTGGCCGTTGAATCTTTCGAGCGTCCTAAAGCTGTGAAACAACTGCGTAGCTTCATCAGGCTCTGCTCGTATTTCCGCCGGTTCGTACCAAAGTTAGCGGATGTCGTTCACCCCCTGACGAGCTTTCTACCCAAGAACAGCCTGTTTCAGTGGACCTCCGAGTGTGATGCCGCTTTTCACAAGCTGAAGTGTTTGTTAACTTCGCAGCCAATACTTTGGCACTTCAATCCTTCGTCGCCCACGGAAATTCACACAGACGCAAGTGACATTGGTATTGGTGCCGTTCTCGTTCAGCGTTCTGGCAAGAAGGAACACGTTGTGGCATATGCAAGTCGTTCTTTAAGCAAGCCTGAATGCAACTACACAGTGACCGAACAGGAATGCCTAGCGGTAGTCTTTTCCGTGCAACGGTTTCACTCATAAATCTATGGTCGCCCGTTCACTATTGTCACAGATCACCATTCCCTGTGTTGGCTGGCCAACCTTCGTGACCCATTCTGGCCGCCTCGCACGATGGGCCATTCGTTTGCAAGAACATGTTTTCCCCATCTCATACAAGACTGGCCGTCTACACGCTTATCCGGATTGCCTCTCCAGAATGCCGCTATCATCGACAGATTGTGAAGCCGATAACTTTGACCACCTTATCGCTTCTCTGTCGTCTGGCTTTCCCGATGCCGTGACCTTCGTCGCTGAGCAGCGTAATGACCCAAGCTTGAAAGCTCTCTCCCCTAGAGCGAGAAATTCATTAAGTGAAGGTCAATTCTGCGTCCGAAATGGTCTTCTTTACCAGAGAAACTTGTCCACGACGGGCGCCCGCTTTCTGCTAGTTGTTCCTGCGTCCCTCCAAACGTCTGTTCTGCGTCTCACGCATGATGACCCCACCTCTGGCCATCTAGGCACCGCACGAACACTTAGTCGCACGAAAGAGCGGTTCTATTGGCCGAAAATGGGCAAAACGATTCAGAACTACGTGGCCAGCTTTACGCAGTGCCAGAGTCACAAGCGGGCCTGCTCAGTTCCAGTTGGTCACCTGCAACCTGTAAAGCCTCCCGGTTCCCCTTTTGAAAAGGTCGGCATTGATCTGATGGGACCTTTTCCACGCTCCTCAAAAGGTAAACGGTGGATAATTGTATGCGCCGACTACCTGATGCGGTACTGCGAGACGGCTGCCTTATGCTCCGCCACGGCAGTCCTGGTTTCGGAGTTCCTGTTGCATTCAGTCATCCTCCGACACGGACCTCCTCGCGTGATAATAAGTGACCGTGGACGACAATTTACCGTTGATATTGTCGAATCATTACTTGGTTTGTGTGCCTCCAAGTTCCGACACTCAACTGTGTATCATCCACAAACTAACGGCCTCACTGAGCGCACAAACCGAACGTTTATCAACATGTTGTCAATGTACGTCGCCTCCGACCACAAAAACTGGGATGAAGTATTACTATTTGTCACGTACGCCTTCAACACGTTGAAACACAAAACGACAGGCTACAGCCCTTTCTATCTGTTCTCTGCTCGCTCACATCGACATACGCTGGACACTATCTTTCCTTTTGTCGTCCATGACGATTTAACAATTGCGGAAACTTTGTGTCGTGCGGAAGAAACACGTCAACTTGCCTGCTTACGTACACTGGCAGCGCAAGAGTCCTCCGAAACTCGCTAAGACAGTCAACACAGGCATGTAACCTATGCCCCCGGTGATCTAGTGTGGGTGTGGACCCCAATACGCAGACGTGACTTGAGCCAAAAGCTACTGGCACACTATGCCGGTCCTTTTGTGATACTCCGTCGTCTCAGCGAGGTCAACTATGAAATTGTACGTGTCACCACTAGTGGCCGACGTTCATGCAAGACAGAAGTGACGCATGTTGCCTGCCTGAAGCCGTTTACTCGAAGGATGCAAGAATGATTCGCCCAGAGGGCTTCGTCTGAGACGGGAGGAATGATACGGGCTATCACTACCAGGAAAAACAAGGGAAGTGCGGATAGAGAAGGAAGATGACGTTGCCTCCACTGCGATTCCCTTGAGTGGGTACGAGCCATGGCGGTGGAGATCATCATCATTATACTGTGGTCGCGGACTCAGGGCCCATTAAAAACTCCCATTTAGTTAACTTACCTTGTGTAACAGTATAATTTTTCAAAGCATGACACCATCGGCTATTCACTGTTCTTTTTTTCTGTGCGGCTGCAACTCTGGGTTGCCATTAAGAAACACTCTTTTTTTCTGATACTGCCCAGTCAACGTTGTATGCTCAGGTCGTTGCTTCTCGAGCCCGTTTTGCTCACCGAATCACGCACACTTGGCTCTGTATTTCTTAGGCCTCACAAAAAGTGGGCTAGGATGACTGGCACCACAACATTTTTTTTTTTTTTTTTTTACAAATACTGCTGTCTCACAGTTCGAGACATTGCAGGAGTGAGTCCATAACAGTGAATACACACTAAACTAACAAAACACATGGTTTGGTAGTTCATTCAAAAAACTATTGGTAGGCAACTTTCGGAGAGAAACATCCAGATTATTCCACAATTCCACTGTGAAAGGCAAAAATGAAAACTTAAAACAATCTAGAAATGGCATGAAGGGTGTGATGTTTATGGGGTTTGACCTGCGAGTGTTCGCAACGGAGTTGGAAAAGGAAATGGGCATGTCAATGGTGATTATCTTGTTCACAATTTTATGTAAAGTGCCGATACGCTCACAAGTACGTCTGTGTTCAAGTGATTTGAGTGATAGACGTACAGCGTGTGACGAAGGTGAAAAATTCTGATCATAACGGTGATATATGAAACTTATTGCTTTTTTTTGAACACCTTCCAAGTGTGCTATGTCGCATGCGCAGTGAGGTGACCAGACAACGGAGGCGTCTTCAACATTGACTACCCCCCTGACTCTCTTGTCCTACTCTAGATGCCGCACCAACGTGAAAGCTTCTGCGAGAAGCTCCTTCCTCGGTACACAGGGCCCTACAAAGTTCTCTGCAAAGTCACCAATCTCGACTACTTTATCAGATGCCCGTTCAACAGCACTCATCTTTTCTACAGAACCATGTGATGTTTGTTCATGTGTCATGCCTAAAATGCTATTATACTGCCAATGCTGACTGACTTACGGGTGCCCGTGACAGTGCTTCGTCCGCCGGGGGTGATGTTACGAGGCAGTGGGCATGCGCCCGTCATCACAGAAGAATCGACGAAGAAAAAGCTGGCTCGCCACCTGAGTTACTGGCAGCCCCTGGTTGACACAGCTACTTGTAAATATTGTAAATGTATTCGCTTTTGTCTTTGGTGTATTCGTGATCTCTGTGACAGTATCTAAGAGGGCTTTTGGGTGCTATTATTATAGAACGCTGACAGCCGAAATTGCAAAGAGGGCTGTCCTACAAGGCACGGATGCTAGGTGCACCCGAGAGAGGGGCGACAAAATGACTTCTTGCCCCTTATTTGGTAGAAGGCTTTTCCTTGTCATAAGTGTCTTTGTGAATTGGTGAAGTTATTCTGTAAAGCAGCGCTGTGGTGAGTGAGGCATTGTTCGATTCTAGCTGTGTCACTTGCATGCTGGTAAGTGAGGCTTGCGTGCTGCAGGTGTTACGAGTACTAATGGACGTGGATGCCAGGCGCCTGCACGAACACCCGTGGGTGTCACGCTGCGCACAGCTGAGCGAAATTGTCTTCAACTTTCCACACGTCGGGGGCAAAATGAAGATTCACGAGAACCGCAAACTGCTGCGAGACTTCTTTCTCAGGTAAGGTCCAGTTGTTTTTTATACGCCTGGCGCACATGGAAGAGGGCCCCATGTTGACCCTGTAATACAGTTAAGGAAATCGCTTAGCAATTGTCCATTCATCACACACGTACAAATAGACAATGCACGGCATTTCTTTAACCCCTATCATTTTTTGCAATATTAGTAAATTGTGCAGTTTCATTCCACAGTGCAAACTTTTAACGAACGTGGTTTTGTCATCCAGGGGCAGCATACTGGCATAGTCCCTCAATAGTTTTTACTGATCACAAAACTTTGGGCCAAGTTTGGTATTGGGACAGAGCCTTCTGCCAGGGCTGCTACTGCAGAGAAAGGGGCTTTTATTGCAGACGCTCAAACGGCGTGTTTTTGGTGCGTGAAGAAGTTTCCTTGGCATAGACTCACTCTGGTGGCTTCATGGACATATTTCTGTGGGGTTTTATGAACTTGTCACCAATTGCATATAGGCAGTGTACTCACACCTGTGCTTAGCGACCGTAGATGTCTGTTTAGTTATGGCAGTGTTCTATTCCTTTAAATTGTGGTGATATCAGCATGCAGCCACATCCTGCACGCTGATCTAGCAAACACTACTTGCTCATTCCTTTGTAGAGCTTTTTATTTTTGTCGAGGTTGTAACCGACGTCAGTGCAAGAACCGCGACCATCATTGCCATTACACAGGCGCACGTACGTATCGTACGAGGAGGGCATGCGTCATGCCTTTTTTGCCGAGAGACATACTGACGTGTGCAACTTACGCAATGATACTTTTTCGTGATGATTTGTCCGTGCTTAGAAAAAAATATTTAGGTTGAATTCCTATGAATATACACCATTTAATTAACAGTTAGTTTACGGTACGTTTCCGTGCGCCAGTGACGCTCAGCATAACACATCAGAAAAAAAATATAGTAGATTTCCCACGCGTGGCTAGGTTCTGTGTTGGACAGACTGCACGTACAGCATTCTGAAGTGAATATCACAACAATATTGCTGTGCAACAGTATTGTTGCACACGAGCGGGAACCCTGATGATGCTCTTTTACCCGCCTTGTGGCTTAGCAGGTAAAGTGTGCTACTGAAGCACTCGCATTCGAGGGAGATGTGCAAAAACAAGTCTGCTTAGATTTACGAGCACGCTGAATAGGTGTTTCTTTTTTCCTGCATAATTTCTATGGGCCCTCGCACTCTGCAAAATGTCAAGTGATTGTTCATTGTATTTCCCCAGCCATGCTCTACAGCAGCTCCTTTCACTCGGACGAAAGTCGAACAGTGGTCTTGTGCAGCTGGTTGATCTAAAGGAAATATTGAAACCTTTTAGCACCTCAGAAAAGGTACTCAAATCTATTTTATATATTCCCAAAAAATAGTAAATTGCTGAGATGAGCATTTTATTTTCAAAGTGGAAAATATTCAAGGCAAACAAAGAACTCAGCAGCATAAACAACTGTTGCAGTAATAAACTCAAAGAAATAAATGTATGCTATAAGTTCACCAAATAGATTTTCGGAGATATGCAAATTAGGCGTAGAACACTAGCATATAAAACAGCTCGCACATATAGTAAAATTCTTGGGTTACAGTACAAAGCAAAATACATATGAGTATTCACGAATACACAATCTAGAAGACTGGCTTCATTAACATGAATGCCTAACAAACAATGTCATTGCAAATATGGAAGTAATCCAAGACCCCCTGTCACAATCATGGTAGAAATACAACCGGGCCCCGGAAGCTGATTCACTTGGCTTTCTTCCTTCAGATGTGGAATCGCGCCGGCCCTCAGCTTTGCTCTTCTGCGTGGCACACTAACAACGGCGCCTTCTATAACACATTCGTCGGCACGAATAATGTCCTCATTACAGAAATGTCTTTCACATACCCGAATGTTTGATGAACTCAACGAGAATGTGCCAGTTTTTTTACGCGGTATCACCTGCTTCCGGTGCTCACGGCTTTTGGTGTCACTGGGAAGCATGAAAAAAGAAACCATTTCAACGGTTCCTCATTAGTCGGAGCGACAGTCCAGCACACAGCATTTCTTTGGCATCGTTCATGATGCTGCTGCTAACTGTTCTTGCATACGAAAACGATCACAGACACAGACAGCTCTGCACACACGCGATAAAACGACACCAACAAAGCCAACACAGAACGCCATCGCTTCACTAGCCTCAACGAGTGTCTTAGTAGCCGGAGCGACCGTGCAGCCCACATGATGTCTTCTGTATTTTTCGTCACGCAGCCAATAACTATTTGTTACGTTTGAAAACGATAATATGCATAACGTAGACAACATTACATCCAAACTCCTGAAAAATACTAAACATATCTGTGCAGCGTATCTGTGTCTACTATTTTCACAATCAGTTTCAAGAGGAATGCTGCCTCCAGATTGGAAGCATGGAAAGGTCGTTCCAGTCCACAAATCAGGTAACAAACAATCACCATTAAATTATCGTCCCATTTCATTAACGAGCGTATTCTGCAAACTCCTCGAGCATATCATCTACACACATATCGTGGACTTCCTTGATTCCAATAATTTTTTTCATCCTGCGCAGCATGGCTTTAGGAAAGGGTATTCGTGTGAAACGCAGCTAGCTATGTTTGTTCACGACCTGCATGTTAACCTCGACTCTAACCTTCAGACTGACGCCCTCTTCATCGATTTTGCAAAGGCATTTGACAAAGTTCCTCATGAGCGCCTACTACTAAAGCTTGCCGCGTTGAATTTAAATGATGACGTATTAGCATGGATTAAAGAATTCTTAACTAATCGTTCGCAATAAGTTTCCGTCAACAATCAAATGTCTAATACTACCCCGGTAACCTCAGGTGTCCCTCAAGGGTCTGTCCTAGGCCCGCTTCTGTTTTTGATTTACATTAATGACCTACCATTACATATATCTTCTATACGCATGTTTGCAGACGACTGCGTTATTTATCGTAAAATAAACAATGTTTCGGATAACACGTCTCTTCAAACTGACTTACTAAGCTTACAGGAATGGTGTAACCTTTGGCTAATGGAACTCAATCCTAACAAATGTAAAACTGTTTCCTTTCACCGCCGTCGAAATCCGATAGTATTCCCGTACCAAATTGCTGACACAAACCTCGAATTAGTTCCTTCCTATAAATATCCTCGGAGTAACCCTTTGTAGCGATTTAACCTGGGCAACGCACATTACGAACATCATTGCATCTGCTAACAAAACACTCGGGTTCTTAAAACGCCATTTGCGTCACGCTCCTAATAATGTCAAATTACTAGCTTATCAATCTCTCGTAAGGACGAAGATAGAATACGCATCAGCCATTTGGAGCCCGCATCAAGCATATCTCATCAATCAACTCGAGTCACTTCAAAATCGAGCCACACTATTTGTTCATTCTACGTACTCTTACGATGTCAGCATATCGGCACTGAAAACAGAATCTGGCCTATCATTGCTTGCATCTCGTCGCCGCATTTCTAGTCTTTCCCTTTTTCACAAGTTTTTTTACAGCTCGCTCGGCAGGCCACCATACATTCTTCCTCCGGCACGCATCTCCCGTCGCACTGGTCACCCGCAACAAGTTGAGCGGCCACGTACGCGCACCGTCACTTTTTCGTCCTCATTCTTTTTTCGTGCAGCTACAGACTGGAACGGCCTTTCTAACGAAATCACCGCCATAACCTGTCCTACCACCTTTTTGAACACCGTAACAAATTACCTTGCCCACCCCTTATGTAATATGTACCCACCCCTTATGTAATACCCCTTCAATGGGGTCTTTAAGGTAATAAAATGAAATGAAATGAAATGAAACAAAGCACCCCGCACATGTGATAAAGCACGACACACACATGATCTACACACCTCGCCTGGCCGTCGCCTCGCTCAGAGACGCTTCAGTGGCCTCGACGAGTACCGCGGGTGCCCCCTTAACACTAGTAGCGTCACCTCGTGGTCTAAGTTGGCGGCACCCAAAGCTCTTCCTAAGAGTGACGGGGAGGTTCCATGACCAGTAAAAAGTATTGAGGGGCTATGGTACTGGTAATACCTGAAGCTTGGTTGAATGATAACGTTTCAGATGCTGAAATAGTCATTCACTTACCCAAATTCCGAGTGTATTGACCGCCTCCGACGCCTAGCCATGCATGGCATCACCATGCCAAAAAAAAAAAAAAAAAAAAAAAAGATCCCGAGGGTTGTGTCGAAGCAAAGTGAACGGGGCCCTTAAGGCGTCCCCGGCTGAGGCAACACGCCCCTTAGGCCCTTGCTTCAGGCAGACAGCAGCCCTGGGGGAATCCTGCTGTCGCCTTTTCCTGTGCTCCCCTCCTATCTTTGTCTGTCTTCTCTTTTTTGGGGGCGAAGCTCCTTGAAGTTGAGGCTTGTTCGTTGGCATTGTGCACTGATGGTGCCATGGTGATGATGCTGATGCCAGAGATCAAGCATATGATGTGCCGCGCTAGAAGCGGAAGATTCTTCTTTCACCAGACCCTGTCTCGGGAATTCAAATATGAAAACAGTGATGAGAGCAGACACCTCATTATATGGAGCTGTCCTAGTCCAAAGGCACTAAGATGGTCAAAGTGATTATTCATCATGCTTCCAGAACGTTTTACAAGCACAGAGTGGCAATATACCCAAATTGAAAGAGAAGGACTTGCCCTTGTGTGGGCTTGTGAGAAGTTCCGTGATTATCTTGTGGGGAAGCACTTTAGTCTAGAGACAAACCACAAACCACTCGTTTCTTTTTTTGGGTCAAAGGGAATTGACGAATCAACACCGAGACTACAGAGAAAGAAGCTAATACACTATACGTATGTTCCAGAACAGGATCTGACAGTTGCAGATGCCCTTTCTCTCTCATTTCTTCTACAAACCGAATCCACAGAACTGGAGGCTGAAATCTAAGGTTATTCTCTACATCTTATCGGCCAGGAGCAAGAGCACAATCCAATATGTGAAGCTGTTATCTATCTAAGTACAAAAGGCTAACCGA